TTTGTTATCTATTTCGCCAACTTGAATGCATTGTATTTTAACTTTGAGTAGCTTCATATATATATATATATATATGTATATATATTAGCATTATGCTGCTTGGGTTCTAGCTTCTGTATTGCAAAATTTATGTTTAAACTTTTAAGTCTTTGTTGCATTTGCACATCAAGTGAGTTTGGATTCTGAATCCATATAAAATGCAGCATTTTTCTGGTCTGGAGGGAATTTTATATTAAGTTGAATGTTCCTTGCAGGGGATTGTAAACAATCAGTTTTCTCATTATCAAGATGTGAAAACTACAGAGGGAGCTGAATCTGCTGTTCAGTTAATTAGTGAATACTGCACTGATGTGGAAACCATCCTATCAGAATTTACAAGCTACATGTATCTTTCTTCACAAAATTAAAATTTTAAACTACAAAAAATGTTTTCTTTGTTTGGGTTGTTTTTATCTTTCTATATGTGATGCAGTGATCTCCCTGATATTGATTTTTCTAAGTTGGCTGAGCTGGCTGGTGAAATAGAGAGGAAAAGCTCACGGTAATATTGTGCCTGCTTTCTTTTTTACAGGAATAACCAATTTGATAGTTCTTCCTATCTGTCTTGTGTTGATAGATTCTGTTATGATGGATAATATGAGTGAACAATTCCTGGAGATCTTACATGTTTGGCATCTTTTATGTTAAATGGAACATAAATGTTTATAAGCCAAAGAGAGGCAAAGTTCTTTCAAACACTGGCTGTGGAGATGCCTTGTGTTTGCTTAGTGACTTTCCTTGTCTATGAAAGGGGGTACAACTTCCTTACGGGGACAAGGCAGAGTGAACTTGCTGCAAAATTCTTGTTCTTTTTATGTTTATAGTTCATTCTCTTCCAGCTAGACGTTTTCCATTTTTAGTTTTGCTAGCTGCTACATTGGCATTACCCTGGTTACAGGAAATGGTGGGTTGTCATATTTTGATGCTTTCCTTTTACAGTGCATGTGAAATAAATACTCAACTGTATCCATTTAATTCTGTTTCCTTTTATTAAACTCATTTTGTTCATCTTTTGGCTAGTTAAAGAGAATTTTTTGCATTCCTTTTTAAACTCATTTTATTCTGTTACATTGACATGGTATACTGCATTTTTTTGGCAAAAACATTGCATGCTGCATGAGATCTTCCTTTTTCACGTAGAATGGGATCTAGAAAGTTCAATACACTCATGAGTTACTCGTCTCTCTCATGTCCTGAGCCTTGGGGTTTCGATGTTGGACACGTAGGGACATCCTTAGCTTGTTTACGTCATTAACAAACTAACATAACTGGCTTTTTGATGGTAGACTGGAATCTTAACCACCTGCAGTTTATGATTATGGATAGGATTAAATTGACATATGTTTACTTTCTCGGGTGTCTTTTGACAGTATTGGCGCTGAGCACGTGAGACTTGCAGGCTTGAATCTGAAGCAAGCTTGTGATGAGATGCATAAGCAGCAGTAAGAAGCTTTTCTTTCACTTCATACATAGTTTTTATCCATATACATTGCCATACCATTAAATCTCCTATCATGGCAATCTTGGTCTTATTTATTAAACCGTATGCATTTATCTGCCTAGATCATTCAGTTCTTTGCTAAGAATATGTATGTATTTGGGAATCTCTTACATTCTACGTTTCATTCTTGTCTTTGTTCGGATGAAATTTTCAAAATTTCAGTTTCCTTTGCAACTTAGACCTGACAAAGAATGAATTCACCCGTACTCAGAACAAGCTGCAGGTTGTTGTTCAGGTATGTTCTCAACTTCAAGTCTTATGTACTTCCCACATATCCAGATACAATTAAATGCTGCTTTCTGGAATCTTTATATATTTACAGATGCTTACTTATTTGCATTGAATTTAATTCGATCCTTCTCTTCTACAATGGACATACAGATGGAACGCAGGATTATGAGACTTGAGGCTAAACAACGAAAATAGAGATGCTATCAAGTTCTCTTGAACATGAGTACGAGTTCCCTGCTAGTCTGGAAATCCAGTGAGTTGGGGAAATCATACTTATTCCAGAAGAAACAAAGTAAATTAACCGATAGTCGGTATATATTTCTATTGCTTGCTGCTTCGTATCATGAAAATCCTGCTGTAAGGATGAGTCTCTAGTGACATAATAATCTCTTTTATGCATTTATGGAAAAATAGAGAACATTTATCACCAAGGTAGAATTGCAGCATTGAAGTTTCTGTCCAAATTGAAGTGCTAAATTATTGTGAGTGTATTAGTTCAAGTCTTAAGTGTCTTACTATATATAATAATATCAAAAAGGTGTTGTCTAGTCTGCACTGCAACTGAATTATACAACTTAAACTATTAGATCGGAATAGTCCCTTGATATTAGGATTTGTGTTGCATTTAATGGTTCATGTTTTGTAGTTTAGTGCTGTTCGGATTACAAAATAAAAAACAAAATATATTAATTAAAAGGGCATAATTGATTGGGTGTATTGGTGATATGAGAATGTATTATTTTAGACACTTGATGAAAGGTTAGCTTCAGGAATAAACGACACAATAACTGGTTCTATTGCCTACTACTGAATGATCAAATGATTTGCCCATGTGGGTGATTCCGGACTTGCAAGACTTTTACATTGGATGTAAATCAGCTCAAAGAACACAAAGCTATATTGGCATAAATGGAACTGCTGGCTATGCGGCAACAGATAATAGTTTTATTATTCCTTTAATTTGATTGACAAATGGATTTTCTAAAGAGTTCTCTGTTTTGCCTATTTGAATTGTACTAGACTGCCAAATATAAATGGTAAAATAGGAAAACAACTTTTAATATTAGGAGCTTATTCATTATCAAATGGTTGATTTTTTTTTTTTTTTTCTGATTTTAGTTGCACAATAAGAGGCAACTATCTTTTATCCTTTATCTTATTCTATCAATATGTCATGCGACTTGAACTCATGAACCTTTACTTCCAACGAAAAGAAATAACCATTGAGTTACTTAAGTCGTTGGCATCAAATGGTTGATGTTATGCAATACAAACTAAATAACATTTTTTTTTTCAAAAACTCTTTCCTTTTATGCAGAAAATGTTTACAACTTCGGAATTCTCCTACTGGAAATGATCACAACAAAACAACCAATTAATACACAATGTAAAATAACGGATTGACCAAACAATTTGCCAAAACAACCATCCCAGAAGAAGCAATGGACACACTGGAAGCTTATCTGTTACAATAAGTAGTTAAGCACAGCTTGGTACCGGAAACAGAATCCCCAAATGACTAAATGCAGATCAAA